CTACACTGCCACGAGTACCCTTGAGTCACAGGGCATAAGTGAATTTCAAGGAAGGCCAAACATCTTGCCACCATGGATGAGAACAACTTTTGGGAAAGCAAGGCTATGTGAAATTAATAGAAAACGTCAGCTCAACTCATATAATTGTGGGAAAATTCTACTACTAGTCCTTCATCACCTTAGACGAAATAGGGTGAATACATCTCTTTATCTTTAGTTTAAATTGCTAATATTTTTTGTGAATATGGATACTTATTTACGAAAAAGTTTTCATCTTAACGTTGCTACCAGCGACAAATGTCGCTTACAATTTGGTTAGATTACAGGTGATCAGTACCTATTTTATTTTTTATTTATCAGGCGACACATTCTTTTGATAAACATGTACTTTTCTTTCTCTCGTTTAAAGGGCCGGCACGGTCCGAATCCCAAAATATTTCGCATTAATTAATAAACATCCGGATATTCTACAAATTAAGTTATTTAACGACGAATCTTCTTGCTTTTTTATTTCCATGTTTTGTGCAATTTCTTAACTCATTTTTCTACAGTCTGTTTATTTTATAGTTGGTTGCTTCTGTTTAATTTTTGTTTGTGCGCTTACTTAAAATTCACGCTGGCCCTTATATAAATTATCTTTTTTGCTACTCGCTAATGTCTTTTTTTGTCCAGCCATTTAACGATCAATTCACTTCTCTAGCACCTATTCTGGCTCGTTTGGCGGATATACTTCCCCTAGTAACTCATCACGCCAGTCCGCATGCAGAACTGGCTTCTCAGTTGCGCATTAGTATTTTAACTCGCGGTGCTGTCTCAGATATGTCAGCACCTACATGCACCAGTGTAGATAGGTTGTCTGCATCTTACACACCCTCTGAACACATACTTACCACTAGAGAGGAATCACCAAGAAGTCTCATCGAAGAGTTATCTACTATTCACACCTCGGTTACTTCTGATGCTATAACGCGAAATACCAACAATGATACATCAGATACTTGCTGCTCAGATTCTACTTCCCTTCCTATAAAATTGGCTCATTTGGTAGCCCAATTAGCGGACCCGTTGATTCCAATCATCGGACACGCTCTAATCGAGATGGCGCGTCTCATCGAAGCCAAGGATGAAGTTCTGTTTGGACACGAAGAACTCTTGTTTTCTGTAGGTATTTATGTATTTTGTTCAGCATAAGATATCGCTTATTCATTGTGTCAATATATTGATTAAACGAATAAAAAGTGGATTGACCTCGCTGTCACAACTTGGTCTTGTTGTCAAGAGGACTTAGTTGAACGCACATAGTTCGAAGTCGTTTTGCCATAGCAGACAGGGGATTTTGTACCTTTTTAAACGTTTTGACGGTATCATCAGTGAGTGTTGCCATTCTCTGCACCAAGCTACAAACACATCAAAGAGACAAGTGAATTCAATCCTTCAACAAACGGGCTGCCGAAAATGTTTACACTATCACTCCTCTTTCTGTCCTGGCCTATCTATCTACTCTTTACCCTCCTATCAAACTCCCGCCTTATCACAACTTCTAACGTGTCTACATTCCACTCGTCAAAATGTGTGCCTTTATGGCAAATCTGGTATGGCCTCATCACACCTGCTATTCACCTTGACCCCCTCTCTTTTGATCGGCTAATATGACTCGGGCCTCCAATCCGGATCATCTTCATTGTCCCGTAGATCCGTTCCTTCTCTTTCTGGTTGACCGATTTCATTCGGTTCCAGTCCCAGTGCATGTTTCCCTCCAGGCGCTATTTCTCAAGGCCCTAGAGGTACATACACTGCCGCTTTACTGAGCAGAGCGCTTAGGCTTTGATTCCCATGCTTGTAGATATCAGGCATTGCCTTCACGCGTCGTCTTCTTAATTAAACCCGTGTTACCTGAGCAAACTGTGGACGCCTATTTCTGGTCGCATGCGGCATCTCAAGTGGATTTCTAGTACATTTTGGCAATAGCGCCGAATTTCTGTGGCGGTTTGCTTATCCTTCTGCTCCCTGACAGCCAGGCCCCCAAAGTTGCACTCACTAACAACATCTTCGCTTGATTGCCGAATACCCCCGCCCCCCATTTTCCTCATCGCGATCCCTTTTCCTCCGGTTAACGTTAAATCCTCGATCCAGGCGTCTCCTTTTTGCTGATCTTGCTCTATTCTTTTTTTTCCCCAGTTTGCTTAAGCACTAGACAAAGTTATAGCTAGCTCTACCTTCCAATCTCATGTGCATTAGATTTTTTCCCCCAAGGATGTCAACGACCTCTCTAGTTGTGTTTTTACCGTATGATGCCCTTCTTTCTGTTGTCTTCCAATTGATCTCGTGTCCAGTCTGTGTGATGTATCCTGCTAATTCTGATCTTTCGATATCTATTTTCCTGCAGAGCCTTTGATACTCCTTGATTCGTATGCTAATTTTTATCCCTGTTTCATCAATATATTTCTGTTCGCAGGCGCCCCATGATATACAGTAAACTCCTGAACAATCCAATTTGTCTACTCTTTCATGTTGTGTCGATGACTTGTGAAAAGTGTTGATTTCTCTTTTATGGCCACCCAAATATTCCATTTCCTCAATATTGGCTGTAGTTTTTGAGTTAGTTCGCAAAAAAGGTAGGCACATCAACTTTTGTGAATCCTTCATCGTCTTTACTGTTCCTTCATAGTCCCCGTCCTGCCATCGGCTTTTCACGGCTCGTATTTTTCTTTGTATCACTTCGCTAGGGTAACTATTTCTGAGAAATATCTTAGTCAATTTGTCCAGCTCCTCTTTCCAGAATTCTACATCCGCTAAGCGTAGGCTTCGGATGATCATGCTCATTATTCCTATCTTTAGTGTGTACTTGTGATGGGAACGGAAATTGAGTATTATCCCAGCATAGGACTTCTTTCTAAACGATTTATTTTTGAGCGTCTTATTAGAGCGAATCACTTCAACATCCAAGAAAGGTAACCGCTCACCTTCCTCTACTTCCATTGTGAATTGAATTTTTTCATCAATCTGGTTTCCAAACTTCAGCAACTCTTCCAGATTTTCTCTTCCATGTGACCAAAATGCGTAGTAATTGTCCAGGTCCCCCTTGAGTATTGTTGGTTGTAGCGGTGATATGTTGAACTCTTCTTCTAATTTGTTTATGCATAGGTTTGCCAAAAGTCGTGAGAGCGGCGATGCCATGGGAAGTCCAAATATTTGTTCATAGATGTTCTTGTTGAATGTAAAATAGGTTGTCCTTAATGTCAAGTTGATTAGTCTTGTTAACTACTTCCTCCTGTTCCGTTGTGATTTTAGGATATCCTCCTCTCGGTCCAGGATTTCCAGCAGGGCCGTTAGTGCATTTTCTCCAGAGATATTTGTATAGATGGATTTCACATCGAAATTTACCAATAAGTCCCTTTCTTCCAGAGCCATGTTTTTGATTTTTTGAGAAATTGCATATGAATGTTTCAATGTGTTTGAGTTTCAAACATTAATTTTGCCAATTTGTGTGTTGCTCCATACTTGTTGTTGACTATCAGCCTTAGTGGCTTGCCTTTTTTGTGTATCTTCGATAATCCGTGGCTGTTGGTGGTATTGCATTCTTTCTTATAATTGAATTTCTTGTCTATGAGTCAGTTTCCCCGTTTCTATGCATATTTTTCAGCATTTCATTTAAGATTCCATGATCTTCATATTTTGGTACTTGTTTATTATACGATATGTAGTCCAGTCTTCTCGGTATATTGTTTTTTGACCATTATCACTGTAGCTCCTTTTTTCCGCCTGAAGAACTAATTGTTCAATCGTTTCCAGGTTTTTACGTATCACGGCGAATCTGTTTCTGTGTGTAGGCTCCTGATGTGTCAAGATCTTTGGAATTAGTTCCATCTAAATTTCCCGTTTTGTCTCCTCGCGGAACTTGTCAGAGGTATTGATAATCTCCACCAGGATGTCACCTAGAAGGCTTCTGCCATTTTTAAATTGAAAAATTGAGTCCTTTTTCCAGGAACACAGTTGTTTCAGGATTGAGAGGAATTTATGTTGAGTTTACTACATTCTTCCGCATACGACCAAATATATGCGTCCACAGTTTGCTCAGGTAACACGGTTTTATTCAAGGAGACGACTCATGAAGGTAATGCATGATATCTGCAAGCATTGGAATAAGATCCTAGGCCCTCTGTTCGGTGAGGCGGCAGCGTACGTGCTTCTAGGGCCTTGGGAAATTTCGCCTGTAGTGAAATTCACACTGGGACTGGAAACGAATGAAATCGGTCAACCAGAAAGAGAAGAAACTGATCTACGAGACAATGAAGGGGTCCGGATTGGAAGCCCGAATCGGATTAGCCGATCGAAAGAGAAAGTGTCTGGGTGAATAGCAAGTGTGATGAGGCCACAATAGATTTTCCAAAAAAGTCACATTTTGACGAGTGGAATGTAGACAAGTTAAAAGTTGTGATAGGGCGGGAGTTGGATAAGAGAGTAAGGAGTTGATAGATTGGCCAGGATAGAAAGAGGAATGATAGTGTCACCGTTTTCGGCAGAACATTTGTCGAGGGATTGAATTCATTTGTCTCTGACGAGTTCGTAGCTTACTGCGGAGAATGGCAACACTCACTGATGATGCCGACGAAACGTCTGAGAATGTATCAAGTCCACGGTCTGATTCTTTGAATTATGATAACTACTATGACAGAGGACTTCAGACAGGGTGCTTCCTACTAAGTCTTCCCTACAAGACGGGGTCAACCCACTTCTTTTAATTATGTGATTTGATTATAATATATATGTATGGCTTTTTTGCCCGTTCTTTCTTATAATTCCTTACTTTTGGGATTTTCTAATGCCTAAGCCGCTCTCTTGTTTTTTTTAATTTTGAGACAATTATGTAAACTTGGGCACATTCTTCATACAGGACTTGATATAACCCTTTTCCGTATGTTCATATACCCTATCTAAAAGGCTTATTTCTTGCGTTTTTAGAACAGCATTATTCGCCTATTTTTATCTTTCCTCTTTTATATCTTGAATATCATGCCGAAAAACTATTTGTTGAATGTGTCTTCGCCTTTGTTTTCACATTTTTATATTTAGATTGCCCAATAGAGGACCCTTAGAGCCTTACTCTCGCTGGTTTCAAATTAATTTCGTCACATTTGCTCAAGTTTTCATAAAATTAGCCATCAGGATCTTCTTATTTCTAGTACACATCTATTTTTCTCTCGACCTTTTCACAAGGATTAAGGATATCTATAGAGCAGTTTGAACATCTAAGCCTTCACTCTAATTTCTTGTTACCCTGTTCAAACTTTCGTTGAATCTCTTTTTCAGCCCCTTTATGTTTTGCGGATGGCCCCACGTAACTGTATCCAAAGGGTTTTCTCAAAATGTGTTAGTAATCAAAAATAGTTCTACGTTCGCATTTAATATAAGGTTATGGCTTTTCTTCCTAGTGATGGCGGGGCCCATAGACTGATCACTTGTCTTTGGTATGCTATATTCCTATTTCGGCTATTATGTGTATTTAATCAAGTATTTATTTCCTAGTAGTTGTGACTAAATTTTTGCTTCTAAAGCATTTTAACACAACCTTGCGGACACTAAAACAAATAAGCTAGCTAGCGTAAGACTCAGCAAAGGCGTTTAATATTGATTTAGTCTTGGTTGAGCAAAAAACTTATTTTAAGGTATGCGTGTTTTCGCAAAATGGTCATATTGGTAGGAAGACTTAGAGGAACACACCTAGTCCGGAGTCCATTGTCTGCATGATCATTTCCAAAGTTGAACCGTGGACGTGGTGCATTCCCAAACGTTTCGCCGGCATCGTAGTTGCAATCGTCAGTGAGTATCGCCATCCTAAGCACCATACAACTACTCGTCAAAGAGACAAGTGAAGCCGATCCTTTGACCAAACGTATGCTAAACAATTATGGTATCTCCCCTTCTGCCCTCCTTCATGATTCCTTTTCCACTAGTTAAGGTTAGATCATTGATCTAAGATTCTTTCTTTAGCCACTCTTATTGCTTCTCTGTCTGTTTCGAATTTGTCTAAACCGTAGACAATGTTATCGCAACTTCTGCCTTACAATCACCTATTCCTTTGATTTTTCTCAGCGAGCATATCGACCACCTCTCCTTCATTTCATTATATTTTTTCGTATAAGGCCCGTATTTATACTGCCTTTAGCTTATCTCGTATTCTACCTGTACAA